CCAAACACTGAATTCAGGCCACAGTACACTGTGAAGACCGTGAAGCATGGTGGTGCAAGCATCATGATATGGGGATGTTTCTCATACTACGGTGTTGGGCCTGTTTATCGCATACCAGGGATCATGGATCAGTTTGAAGACATCAGAATACTTGAAGAGGTCATGCTGCCTTATGCTGAAGAGGAAATGCCCTTGAAATGGGTGTTCCAACAAGACAACGACCCCAAACACACCAGTAAACGTGCAACATCTTGGTTCCAGACCAACAAGATGGACGTTATGGAGTGGCCAGCCCAATCCCCGGATCTTAATCCAATAGAAAACTTGTGGGGTGACATCAAAAATGCCATTTCTGAGGCAAAACCAAGAAATAGAGAAGAACTGTGGAATGTGGTCCAATCATCCTGGGCTGGAATACCTGATCACAGGGGCCAGAAGTTGGGTGACTCCATGCAACACAGATGTACAGCAGTTCTCAGAAACAGTGCGACTACAACCAAATATTCATGAAGTCATTCAAAGGAAAGCAAAATCTTCAAACATTTCTCAGTTTATATAGTGAATGTTTGAGTTTGTAAAGAAGAATACAAACACTGCGATTTTTTTGAACCGTCTAATATTCACTTTTCTTCAATTTTTTTAGAGGAACAACACAAATTTGATGTATTTTTCTTCATGTTGTGATTTCGGAATAGAATGTGTCGTGTTCCCAATGCATTTGTGTGGATGGAAATAAAAGCTATTAGAAGGATTTTCAGCTTTATTCACTTTTTTCAACACACTGCTATTATTTTGAACACAACTGTATATATATATATATATATATATATATATACAAGTATATGGTTACTTTAGAGAACAGTACACCATTTGTACTATACTAATAAAAACGTATTATTTGTAAATAAAGACAAGTGGATCCGTAGTCCTAAAGTGCGGGATATGTAACATTGATGACTTCTTCTTGCTCTTAATGGCGTGCAGCAGGGTGCAATTAGTCATACATAATTAGTGAATAATTAGTCAGTCTTCTTGCAGTTGAATCTCAACAGTGAAGCTCAGCTGTGTACTTGAATACAGAACATGCTATGCTGTATGTTAGAATCGGCCTGCTTAGTCGCAGTATCTCCAGGGTGAATAGTCCAGCATGTCGCATTTCCTCCCAGCATGTGACGTTGGACCTGTATGTGTTGGAAAAATGAATTTCAAGGACCGAACCTGAAATTAAATACACATGTGGGATTATATGTTTTGAGCCATATGTAATGGAATCAAGGAAAAATAAAATATGTGGTGTGGACTCAGGGGCGGACTGACAACTCATGGGGCCCCCGGGCAATAGGGGATCATGGGGCCCCTGTGTCCTTGCCCAAACTCAAAAAAGCTATATGAAAAAGGTACCAGGGGCATCTCATGGGGCCCCCTACTGACCCCGGGCCCTCGGGCAGTGCCCGAGTTTCCAAATGGTCAGTCCGCCCCTGTGTGTGGACTGTATATTGTGCTTACTGTAGCTGCTGATCCAGTATTTATTGATTTTTCACAATGATGACCACAATTAGGGACATTCAACATAATTACCGTATGAACGTCACAAGCATTTGCATGAATAATCCCTTTATTATATTTATTTCCTATGATTGTCAGTTCCATCTAATGGCCATAATCTGGCATTTTCCTGATTAAGGTATTTCAGGAAAAAAAAACTAATTATGGCCAAATCTTGGGTGAGAACCTTCTTCTCTCAGCCAGGGCATTGAAAATGGGTCATGGATGGGTGTTCCAGCATGACAATGACCCAAAACACACGGCCAAGGCAACAAAGGAGCGGATCAAGAAGAAGCACATTAAGGTCCTGGGGTGGCCTAGCCAGTCTCCAGACCTTAATCCGACTGAACATCTGTGGAGGAGCTGAAAGTTCGAGTTGCCAAATGTCAGCCACCAAACCTTACTGACTTGGAGAGGATCTGCCAAGAGGAGTGGGCCAAAATCCCTCCTGAGATGTGTGCGAACCTGGGGGCCAACTCCAGGAAACGTCTGACCTCTGTGATTGCCAACAAGGGATTGGCCACCAAGTAATAAGTCATGTTTTGTGAAGGGGATCAAATCCTTATTTCCCTCATGAACACGCAGATCAGTCATCATTTGTTAGACATGCATTTCTTTTGAATTTGTTGTTGCTTTTCTGTCTCTCAGTGTTACAATAACACCGAACATTCGATTTTTTAGACCGATCATTTCTTTGTGAGTGGGCAAACATTCAAAATCAGCAGGGGAGCAAATACGCATTTCCTTCACTGTACGAGTCAAATTACAGGGATTGTTCTACTTCAAATGCCGCTTTATGCATTGACATACCTCCTTAGATCCAGTCTCTATGGTCAGTTGCTGACCTAGCACCGTCCATAGGCAGCTTAACTCTTCAACAAGACACAGAAGTTGAATCCAACACAATTTTATTTCAGCTAATTGCAGTACAGAGGATGTTTTTCCAGTTTTCTGAAGTGTGAGAAGACGATGACTTTCCTGAGCCCTGTCTCTGTGAATAATTAACCTGTAACGACAGTACGCCTATCAGTGGGTGGGCCTTAACGCACAGAGGCCGCATATATGTGTACCACGCTCTGCGCGCTCCCGGCACATTCATCATCGGCTAATGGAGAGCTTTCCAATCACATGACCTCTGTGACAGACAATCTCGGCGGTCACATGATTAGAAACCCCGCATCGCCTCCCGGTATAAGAAATCCCTTAAAGGGCCAGGAGGTGCCAGCATTTAGGGGTTAAAAAGGTACTAAATCCAAACCCAAAAATGTAATACATTGGAACATACCAATCATAAGAGGTTGCTGCATTAGTTTTAGGCTTTTTCCCTCTGTTTTCACCTGGTGACTAGCCAATAACACACCCTCCTGCATTAGAGTACCTCCAGTCTGGATGAAGGAGCACAGGGGCACAGCAGACAGCGTAGGGGAGTAATGGGTGGACTCGCATTTAAATACAGTGACAAATTGCAGCCAAGCTCCAGCTCACGCTTTATAATAAGTTACAGAAAACTGATTTTTTTTTCCTTTTGGGATAAAAGTATTACATGAATAAATAAAAGCTGATCATTGTAAGCAGCCCTGTCAGTGTTAAATTGTTTGTCTCATCCCTGTAAACTGATACATCTGGAAAAGATCTTGTTCTTTTGGAAAACATCAGACTTACTGGTTGGATCAGAAGATGAGAAAAAAAGAAGGAAGAACGCCTAAAAAATAAAACTAATACAGCCATCTGATGGCATAACTAGAACCTTCAGGGCCCTGGTGCAAGAAATTATGAACGGCCCCCCCTGACCCTCGGTCAGGGTCCAGTCACAAGTGCAACCTTTGTGACCCTGGTAGTTCCGCCACTGGTGTCAGTAGTTTATTTATTTATTTTTTTAGAATTTGTTTAATAATTTTTTTTTTTAGCTTGGGGGCTTTGGTGAGATATCAGGGGTACAAGCAGACCTCTGATGTTCTTTGAAACAAAGAAAGGAAACAGAGAAAGGAGATTGAGGATACGGCCCTCAATCTCCATCTCTGCAACCTCAGCTGCACTAAATGAATGAATAGAAATAGCTCTGTACAGAGCTTCCCTCAAGTCACAAACTGAAACATAGTAAACACAGTTTACAATGTTTCAGCTATGAATGAACAGAGTCAGTGATCGGTACGAATCACTGACTCTCCATTTGGAAAAGGAGGGGGCCAGTAAATGACAGATCCCCCATGGCTGCCGGTGGGAGAGGAGAGAGGGGAACTCAGAAGAGCTGTAGGGGGTGGGGGGAAGAAAAAGCATGGGAGGCTGGAGAGGAAAGGGGGGGTGAGGGAGCAAGGAAAGACCAAAGGGGCTGGAGAGCACACGGGGAACAGCTGATAGGAGGAATGGCAGGGGCAGCTGCATATAAAGGAACCAATCACTCCATGATCCTCCTACAGCCGCTGAATACTCGCTTCTCCTCTCCCTTCCACAGGCATTCAGCGGCTGCAGGAGGAACATGAAGAGATCAGTTCCTTTATATGCAGCTTTCCAGATGTACTGCTCTATATTGAAAGAGAAGATGCTACCATCACTCTTGGTCGTCGTGCACTTTTACAACATGACAATGATCCAAAACATCTACGACTACTGTTGCATTTCTGAAGAGGAACCGGGTGAAAGTGATTCAGTGGCCAATCAAACACATATGGAGAATTCTGAAGTTGAGCATCACTCTCCATCCAGCATCCAGGCTCTAAAAGAGGTCGTTCTTGAAGACTGGGACAAGGTTCTGTCCTTGGACCTCTGCTGTTCTCCATCTACACTTCTTCCTTGGGTCAGCTGATAGCTTCCCATGGTTTCCAATACCATTTCTATGCTGATGACACACAAATCTGTCTCTTTGCTCCTCAGCTCACCTCATCAGTTTCCTCACGTATCACCGATTTACTAACGGACATATCAGACTGGATGTCACTCCACTTCCTAAAACTCGATCTATCCAAAACTGAGCTCATAATATTTCCTCCCCCGTGTGCCTCTTCCCTGATTTCTCGGTCAGGATCAATAGCACCACTATCAACCCATCCCTGCATGCCAGGGTGCTAGGGGTGAACCCTGGATTCTGAACTATCCTATCAGGCCCACATCCAATCCCTGTCCAATCATGCCGCCTCAACCTCCGCAGCATCTCCAGAATATGCTCCTTTTTAACCAATAATACCACAAAGCTCCTAGATCACTCCCTGGTCATCTCTCACCTCAACTACTGCAACTCCCTCCTCATTGGATGACCTTTACAGAGGCTATCCCCCCTCCAGTCCATTATGAATGCTGCTGCCAGGCTCATCCACCTTACCAACCGTTCAGTGTCTGCTACCCCTCTCTGCCAATCCCTCCACTGACTTCCACTCAGTGTCATCAACCCCTCTCTGCCAATCCCTCCACTGACTTCCATTCAGTGTCCTCCACCCCTCTCTGCCAATCCCTCCACTGACTTCCATTCAGTGTCCTCCACCCCTCTCTGCCAAACCCTCCAATGGCCTCCATTCAGTGTCCTCCACCCCTCTCTCACAATCCCTCCACTGGCCTCCATTCAGTGTCCTCCACCCCTCTCTGACAATCCCTCTACTGGCTTCCACTCGCCCAACGAATAAAATTCAAAATACTAACAACTTACAAAGCCATCCACAACTCTGCCCCCAGCTACATCACCAACCTGGTCTCAAAATATAAACCAAACCGCTCTCTTCGATCCTCCCAAGACCTTCTGCTCTCTAATTCCCATGTCACCTCCTCCCATGCTCGCCTCCAGGAATTCTCCTGAGCTTCTCCCATCCTATGGAACTCCCTACCCCAATCTGCCGGCTGTCTCCTAATCTATCCATCTTTAGACGATCCCTGAAAACCTTTCTCTTTAAAGAAGTCTATCCTGCTTCTACCTAGTAAACCACCATTTATTTCCTCCATCAGCTCATCCCCCCCACAGCTATTACCTTTGATATCACTCAACCCTTCCTCCTAGATTGTAAGCTCCCAGAATCAGGGTCCTCTGTTTCCTCTTGTTCCAAATTGTATTGTAACTGTAATGTCTATCTTCATTTTGTAAAAATTCAGTTTTGTCAAAATTTTGGAAACTGTTCTTGTGTTCATATTGATTAAAATCTTACTTTTCAAAAGGGGTGTACTCATTTATGCTGGGCACTGTAAATATATTTGATAAACTAGCAGGTTTTTAAATCTACTATACTGTATATATATATATATATATATATATATATATATATGCACAGGGTTGGACAAAAACATGATTTGCAGATGTGAAAGTGACAATATGTTTCATGGTGAAAGCTGAAGTGATGCAACATTCTTTTGCTTCCAATGTCAATAGGTAAGTTCTTATTTCTTGGGTTTCCACCATGGATCTCTCAGTGCCCAATTCCTATATCTTCACAGTGATGTCATCCTCTTCCTCTTTACCCCTCAAAAAAAATGTTTAATTGAACCGCACATAGTGCATTATCTCTTTTCACATAAAAAAATGTTTTTTTCTAAATTACATTAACATAAAAGTGCTCAAAAAGTGCCAAAAACTTCACCAAGTGCCACCATGCTACGTGCTCCCGATAGGGTTGGAGCTTCCTAGAGGTCCTGTGGACTGGGACCTGGATATTTTTCCTGATTCTGTTCTTTTCTACTTTTTTTGTTTTTCAATCTCTTCTTTTTTTCTCTTTGTCTCTCTCCTATATCTAAATTTCTTTGTAACAGCGGTACTCTGCCTTCTTTTCCGAAGAGTACGGCTGCTTGTGTTGTCCTGGCTAGCCGATTTCTTGTTGTGCATTTATGTATGTAGCTCCACTGAGGCTACCTCCAGGAGAATTGTTGCATTTCTTACTTTTGAAATCTTGGCACAAGTATGTCCTTTTTTGACTGTTACCCATCTCCTCAGTCCTTAATGTGCCTGCTGCTGTACTTTTTGGATTTTCTGTAAAATGCAAACAATGTGACCTTTTTTGTATGTTGATATTTGCCTTAATAAATGATTTCATGGGGAAAAAAATGACCTAATGAGCAAGGACACATCTGATAACATTCGTTGCTTCTGCAGGTAAAACGCTCAAACTCCTCTAGGAGCAGTGGGGGGTTTTTAGCCAGTGTGCAGGGACCTATAAAGTGTTTTTGTCAGGGATCCCGGTCTTCGCCGCAACGCGCGAATCTGCGCATGCGTGGATCGCCCAGGTACATCAGCGGGTGGGCAGTAGGACCTGGGCGTCCGCGGCGGCAATTGCGGCAGCGCATGCGCACTCACGCACACGGGCGCGCGCCTGGCACCAATGACGGTGCAGGGGCGCTATTTAAACCGGCCAGGCAATGTCCTCATTGCCGCAAGGTCTTGTTCCTGTTCCTGTCTAGTAGGTTTCCTTGTTGCCAAACTCTGCCTGTCCTGATTTATGCTGACCCTCTCCTGCTCTGACCCCCGGCTCGTCCCTGACCATTCCTCTGCCTGTAGTTCCTGCTGTTTTGGACCCTCTATTACTGAACCCGGCGTGTGACCTGACTACTCTTTGCCTGCTGCTTGGTACCGCACCTGTCCCCACTGTTACCGACCCGGCTAGTCTGACCACGCTCACATCTAGCAGTCATCCATCCATCCCGCTCGGACCTGGACCCGTCAGCCCCTTCACAGCAGGCTCATCCCGGGCACATACCCTCAGCGGGACCCCTCTACCATAGCCGGGTGCGCACAGGGGCGCGACCTGGTTCCAGTCTTGCACCAAGTCCATCCCCACCATCAGGGGCTCTGGTGAAAAGGCAGACTGGGACTTAGACTCCGCGTCCTGGGAAATCCCGTGCTGTGGACCACTAGAGATCCCGTTGGACGGAGCCTGACAGTTTTTCTTTCAATTTTTGCATTTTTTAAAATGGTAAATTTGTAAATTTATGTTAAATATGTAAAAATCTTAACAAACAAAACGAAAACAAAAAAAGTTTAAATAATATTAGTTTATTTATTTATTTCAGGTACTTATATAGCGCCATCAATTTACGCAGCACTTTACATATATATTGTACATTCACATCAGTCCCTAACCCTCAAGGGGCGTACAATCTAAGGTCCCTAACTCACATTCATACATACACATACTAGGGACAATTTAACAGGAGCCAATTCACCTACCAGCATGTCTTTGGAGTTAATAAAATAGAAACAAATGAAAAAAAAAACAAATGGAACAGCAGGAAAATAATAGTTGAAGAGAGAAGGAGAATAAGAAGTTAATTAGGGCTGATTAGAGTAAACTAAGGGGTTAAACAGGAATATTTAAAAAAAAATAAAAAACTTGTCAGGTTGCTTTAACTGACATCTGCAGACTGAAGCTCATCCCATTGATCTGCAGAACATAAAGAAACAAATGTAACACATAATGTAATACATATATTACATTATAAATTGGATTTGCATTCATGCTATGGTCTAAAAAGAGGTAACCTGGAAACAAACTCACAATACTTATATATATATGTTCCTTGTATTGTAGTCTGCAATATTGTGGGTTTTTTCCACTTTACTTCTTTTTAGACCATAGCGCGAATTCAAATTTATATAAAGTAATATATATATATATATAAGAAAGTGTGGCGCTAAAAACAAAAATCAGCAATATGATAAACGTAAAAGTCCAATCCAAAAAACTTGAAACATGTAAGAAAAAAAAGGTCCCTCTGACAAGGATCCTGTCAGGGCTCCCGGTAAGACCAGAGATGTGTGAACTGACACAGGGAAATGCAGGCTCAAGTATGGTGTAACAATATAATTTATTAAAGGTTATACACAAATATAACGCACAATATAACAAAACGAAACCTCCAACTGATAACGGAATGTACACAGACGAGAGCAGTCAGGGCTGGTGAGAATGGAGTGGTCAAGCAGGCCGGGTCAGGAACCATCGGGCAGACAAGACACAAAGGAGCAGGCAGAGCGTAGTCAGACGGGCCGGGTCAGGAACAATCAGGTAGACAAGGTACCAAAGGAGCAGGCTGGAGAGTGGTCAGGAATAGCCGGGGTCAGGACAGGCGGAGTTCATTCAGAGTCAGGATCAAAGCAGAATCAGGAAGCAGACAGGATGCAGGTACAGGGGATCATGGGAAAACATACACCAAGGCACTGACTGCAGGTCTGGGCATTCCCTTAAATACACCTCCTGCAATCAGCCTCAGGTGATGGCTGACTGCAGGAGTGAGCTTCTGGTTGCTGAAAGCACCCGCTGGCCAGCCCTGGTACTGCAGCCCACACGGCAGATGAGTCCCACCACCATTGGTGAGTCCATTCCTGACAGATCCACAGCAGTCATATAGATTTCCCAGAAACCACCAAAAGGAAAAAAGGAGGAAATCCTTCACCAACACCGATTATAGTTCCTCTATGGTAGGGAAGCGGAGGATCATTTCTTGAGAAGGGATATTTCAGTGCCCAGTCTTCAGAGGGAATTCATTTTATCTCTTTTAGACTTTGCCATGGGACATAATTACTTTTGGTTTGATAGTGTGTATTACTTGCAAGATAGAGGGGTGGCCATGGGAGCCCAATTTGCTCCCCAGTATGGCAAATCTTTTTATGTCAAGGTGGAAAGACGAAGTCATTTATGAACAGTTACCCACAATTAATGCTTTTGAAAAGATATATCGATGATGTTCTTTTCATTTGGGAAGGGGAGGTGGATTTGTTGAATGAATTCATCTCCTCTTTAAATTACAATAATAGAGGGATTGTCCTCCAACATGAATCAAGTAGGGAAAAGATCCATTTTTTAGATGTCAGGATCAAAGTGGAGGGGGACAAGTTTGTTACGTCCACTTTTTTCAAGGAGACTGATAGGAGCAGCTTTATCGATTCTAAGATTTGCCATCATTCCTCTTGGCTCAGGTCTGTGCCTAAAAGCCAGTTCCTTAGGCTTAGAAGGAATCGCACAAATCGTACTGACTTCATAATAGAAGCCAGTCATCTAAGGCAACAATTTGAAGAAAAGGGTTATGTTGCTAACGTATTGGATAGGCGTTTAAAGATGCTGATGAGAGAGACAGATCAGATCTATTATTATCTAAGTTGCAACAGAATTCTAATGAATTATTTAAAACCGCCTTTGTTACTTCTATTCTACCCAGTACTATGATGTTAAAAACATCTTTTGGAAATATTGGAAGGTATTAGTCCATAGGGTTCAATATTGAGTTGGCCGGTCCTTTGCAGCTATAACAGCTTCAACTCTTCTGGGAAGGCCGTGCACAAGGTTTAGGAGGGTGTCTATGGGAAGGTTGGACCATTCTTCCAGAAGCACATTTGTCAGGTCAGGCACTGATGTCGGGGGAGGAGGCCTGGCTCGCAGTCTGTGCTCTAATTCATCCCAAAGGTGTTCTATGGGGTTGAGGTCAGGACTCTGTGCAGGACAGTCAAGTTCCTCCACCCCAAACTGGCTCCTCCATGTCTTTATGGACCTTGCTTTGTGCACTGGTGGGCAGTCATGTTGGAACAGGAAGGGGCCCATCCCCATACTCTTCCCACAAAGTTGGGATCATGAAATTGTCCAAAATGTCTTGGTATGCTGAAGCCTTAAGAGTTCCCTTCACTGGAACTAGGGGGGCCAAGCCCAACCCCTGAAAAACAACCCCACACCATAATCCCCCTCCACCAAACTTTATACTTGGTACAATGCATTCAGGCAAGTACTGTTCTCCTGGCAACTGCCAAACCCAGAGACATCCATCTGATTGCCGGACAGAGAAGCGTGATTGGTCACTTCAGAGAACACATCTCCACTGCTCTAGAGTCCAGTGGCGGCGTGCTTTACACCACGGCATCCGACGCTTTGCATTGAACTTGGTGATGGAAGGCTTGGATGCAGCTGCTCGGCCATGGAAAACCCATTCCATGAAGCTCTCTGCGCACTGCTGTTGTGCTAATCCAGGGGTGTGAAACTGGCGGCCCTCCAGTTGTTGCCATCATGCCTCTACCTTTGGAAGTCATGCTTGTAACTGGCAATCTTGCAATGCCTCATGGGACTTGTAGTTTGGCAACAGCTGGAGGGCCGCCAGTTTGACACCTGTGTACTAATCTAAAGGCCACACCAAGTTTGGAGGTCTTTAGCTATTGTGTCTGCAGACAGTTGGTGACTTCTGCGCACTGTGCGCTTCAGCATGCGCTGACCCCGCCCTGTCATTTTACTTGGTGGCTGAGTTGCTGTTGTTCCCAGTTGCTTCCACTTTGTTATAATCCCACTAACAGTTGAGTGTGGAATATTTAGTAGCCAGGAAATGTCACGGATGGACTTATTGCCCAGGTGGCCACCTATCACGGGACCATGCTTGGAGTCACTGAGCTCCTGAGAGCGACCCATTCTTTCACCAATGTTTGTAGAAGCAGTCTGCATGCCTAGGGGCTTGATTGTATACACCTGTGTCCATGGAGGGGATTGGAACACCTGAATCCAATGATTTGGGGGGCGGGGGACAATACTTTTGGCAATATAGCATATATATATATATATTCATATACACACATTTTAATAGCTGAATCCTTTGTATTCTTTTTAGAGCCAGCAAGTTTCTTTTCATGGGTGTTTCAGGCTCTTCATACCTCCTATTGTAAAAGATCTGTTGTTTACAAAGTGTAATAGCTCAAGCTAAAAACTACCTTGGCACACACACCTAACCCCTCCCCCTTCCCCTACACCTCCCTCCAGGTAGCTCCTTTCATTGTAGTCCCCACTCCAGTCGATCCTGAACTCAGCAGCGAGACTCATCCACCTCACCAACCGCTCCACATCTGCCTCCCCCCTCTGCCAATCCCTTCACTGGCTCCCGATTGCCCAGCGCATCAAATTCAAACTGCTAACTCTGACCTACAAAGCCATTCACAACGCCGCCCCAAACTACTAACTGACCTGATACACAAATACCACCCCACCTGTGCCCTTTGCTCCTAACAAGACCTCCTACTCTCTAGCTCCCTGGTCTCCTCCTCCCACGCCCGACTGCAGGACTTCTCCAGGACTTCCCCCATTCTCTGGAACTCCCTACCCCAATCCATCAGACTGTCACCTACCCTCCTTACCTTTAGGCGCACCCTGCAAACCCATCTCTTCAGGGAAGCCTACCACACCCTTACCTAACAACTAACCTCCTCCACTTCTCCCACCACTCCATCCCCCACAGCCATCTCCTCCTGTACCACCTTCCCCTCCCTCCTAGGTTGTAAGCTCCAAAGAGCAGGGCCCTCGAACCCCTCGTGTATTGTATTGTTACCATCTTGTCTCATGTTCTGTCCCCCTCGCTACTGTACAGCGCTGAGCATACCCTTTGGCGCTATATAAATACTGTATAATAATAATAATTGTAGCTGCCTTGCAGCTGCCGATGGGAAGGAGAGGAGGGAAGTCGGCAGCACTGCGGGGGTGGGAGCATACAGGGGGACCTGGGCAGCAGGGGGAAATGTATGTATTGGAACGCCAATGATTTCTAGGGGTGTCCCAATACTTTTGGCAATATAGTGTATGTCGATTTAAAATGGCACGATTTGTGTGCAATTTCAGCACGATTTCTGAAGACTTTATTGCTACTTGTGAAGATTTTCAACGATTTCTTGCAATTTGCAGTGCGATTTCCATTATAGTCTATGTATGTGAAATTGCAACAAAACGGCAGAAAGAGCAACGCAAGAACTTTTGAAATCATGCTGCAGCAAATCACACATGTTAAGACACTGACATTCACATTCATTAGAAGCGATTTCAATTCGCAAATCGCACCTGAAATCGTAACGGTGTGACCGGGCACTAAGATTACATGATACAGGCACTCCTGCCAGACACTATAGCCAGGTTGTGGATTATTTCTTGCTCTAGGATAGACTGACCAGCCTACAAACAGGAGAATAAAGGAGCAATGATGAGTTATATCTGATTTTTCTACCTGTAAGCAAGCTCTCTGTGCTGTTCTGACAGTACTGTTCATTGGAGCACTGCTGCCTAATGCTGTACAATGGATTGCAAGAAACTGCTATATGAGGGGTGACTGAAAAGTTCTTGGCCTACCCATGAAGCTTTTGTTTTAGTCCAATTTTATTTTTTCATAGTACAAATCTTTGCAAGGTTCCATACCAAATTTCTCACAAATAGCTTTTTTTTGGGATATGACCACTTTCTCTGCGATGAAATGTTCTGTCACACGCCTGTCTGCCGTTACGGGATCCTGGATTTCTGCGATGTTTTCCTCTGTACAGGCAGTTGCTGGCCTTGGACAGAGGGGTTCCCCCTCTTGAATTCCGTCACCCACTTTTTAACCACTTCAAGTCCGGACACTTTCACCCCCTTCCAGTCCGGACGCTTTCACCCCCTTTCAGTCCGGACACTTTCCCCCCTTCCAGTCCGGACACTTTCACCCCCTTCCAGTCCAGACGCTTTCACCCCCTTCCAGTCCGGACGCTTTCACCCCCTTCCAGTCCGGACGCTTTCACCCCCTTTCAGTCCGGACACTTTCCCCCCCTTCCAGTCCGGACACTTTCACCCCCTTCCAGTCCGGACACTTTCCCCCCCTTCCAGTCCGGACACTTTCACCCCTTTCCAGTCCGGACACTTTCACCCCCTTCCAGTCCGGACGCTTTCACCCCCTTCCAGTTCGGACGCTTTCACCTCCTTCCTGTCCAGGCCAATTTTTCAGCTTTCAGCGCTGTCACACTTTTAATGACAATTGCGCGGGTCATGCAACACTGTACCCATATGAATTTTTTAGCATTTTTTTGAGACAGATAAATCTTTACTTTGGTGGTATTTATTCACCGCTGGGATTTTTATTTTTTTTTCCTATATAAATGAAAAAGTTCAAAAAATTTTGAAATAAAGTGTTTTTCTTAGAAAATAAATAATCTTTCTTCATAAATCTTGGACACAATGTATTCAGTTATCTATTTAGTAAAAAAAAAAAAAAAAAATAGTTTATAACCACAAATTATAATTTTTCAAAAAATTTTTTTTACATTTTTAGTTTTTTTTATATTATTATTTATGTTTTTTTTTTAACATACTGTCACCCTAGCAGTACAGGGTCACCATAGTGACACTGTACTACTTGTGGGGGGTGATGAAGATTTTTTTTTTTTCTTTTTCTACCCATAAAAGCTGTAAAGCAATTATTTCTCCTTCTGTCTGGCTGCTTTCTTGCAGCGATTGAGAAAATACTGTGTGAGCTGTGATTGGTCACAGCTTGTCACATGGTACAAGGCTGTTGTGAATAGCCCTGTACCATGTGATCTCTGTGATCATTCACAGATTTCACACGTAGTAAGCAATGATGTCAAAAGTGACATGTTGGTTACTATTCTTCATGTGATCACTGATTGGCCAATCAGTGATCACATAATCGGGACCTCACACAGAGGTCCCGTACAGCGATCGGTGTTCCACTGTGTCTGGAGGACACAGCGCTCCGGACACAGCGGGCACCGGATTGTGGTGCTGCGTGGTCCCAGGGAGCGCGCACAAGCAGGGAAGCGGGAGGACGTTTATAAACGGCAAACTCGTTTCGGCACTGCTCCCTGTCCGGCCATTTATATACATGGGCCGGATGGGAAGTGGATAACAGTAGAATAGGTAGGGGCATCCTCCCCTTATGATTCCATCATGTCCTTGTGGATGTCCTGTCCACTCATTCCCTTTTTCAGCAGGTATTGGATCAGGGGCGGACTGACCATTTGGAAACTCGGGCACTGCCTGAGGGCCCAGGGTCAGTAGGGGACCCCATGAAATGCCCCTGGTACCTTTTTCATAGGCTTTTTTTGAGTTTGGGCAAGGACACAGGGGCCCCATAATCCCTTATTGCCCGGGGGCCCCATGAGATGTCAGTCTGTCCCTGTATTGGATAACAGCACGCTTTCTCACTTTCTCCATCTTTCAGACAATGATGATCTTCTGCGCTTCAGTCTTCAATAACTGAAAGAAAGAAAAAGCTATTTGTGAGAAATTTGGTATGGAACCTTGCAAAGATGAGTAGCAAAAAAAAAAAAAAAAACCTTGCAAAGATGAGTAGCAAAAATAAAAATGGGCTAAGACAAATGCTTCATGGGTAGGCTGAGAACTTTTCAGTCGCCCCTCATAGGTACAAAGTGAAATACTTGCTCTAGCACAGGGGTCTCCAAACTATGGTCCTCCTGCTGTTGAAGTACTACAAGTCCCATCATGCCTCTACCTCTGGGAACCTTGCCTGTGGATGTTGGAGTCTTGCAAGGCCTCATGGGACTTGTAGTTCCTCAACACCTAGAGGGCCATAGTTTGGAGACCCCTGCGGTCTAGCACCATTAAAAAAGTAAACTTTGGATGAGATGTAGATGAATACATAACTGCATTATTGGTGTTTTTTTTCTATCTGTCTGGAGTTAGGCGTTCAGCGTATTTTACATAAATGATTAAATAGTACACATGGGGATTATTGATATTTCTCATGCGTTGGATCTTTGGTAAAAACAGCAGTCGGCTTCTGATAGTAAAAGGTGTTTGCATTACAAATTCAGAGAAGAGGAATTTATTACTGACGGCACCTGCAGATACCCTATGAAGATTTCCTAATGTCGGCAATTTGGGCAAAATGTGGCAGCAATCAGACGGTTCATGGGGTACCACAGATCTCAGCTTGGTCCTGTTAGGGAAGAAACATCCATGAATTATGGACTGCAAGGAGAGGACCACAGGACTGTGCGGTTCATGCATGCCCAGAATCATGCCAGTAGAAGAAAATGTGATGGACACAATATAGAGGCCATAATGTTACAGAAGAATTCCAGGTATGGATAGTTTGACATAGTTAGATTGGACCAGCTTGGATCTATGTGCGATCTACTGTATATACCATACCTGGGGGGATCCCTCTAGAACTTGTGTGTCAAACACAAGGCCCACCAGGACATTTCATGTGGCCCTTGCACCACTCCTGCAGCTGCGGCACCCCCCTCATCTCCACCCTCACCTTGTCTCAGCAGTTGGCAGCACAGAGAAGAACATAAAATCCCCCCCCCCCCCATATCAGCCATCAGCAGTGGAGTGGAGGACAGAACTCATCCCCCATATCCTGTGCTTCTTCATGCAGATTTGGAGAGCCTTGTCTCTGACACCCACCCTGGCAGTCAGTCGGCAACAGAAACAGAGAGGAGGACAGATCTCCTCTGACAGATCCTGCTCCTCTCAGTGCAGTGGCAGCACCACCTCCTCGTCTCCACCTCCACTTATTTCAGTATTCAGCATACTCCAGCAGCTGACTACAGCCTCTGGTCCTCCTCCAGACCCTGCACTTCCTGCTTCCCAGCTTTACCCTCAGCTTCCTCCCAGCAGCAGCATGAGGTAATGAGGGCCTCTCTTGGTCACAGCATTCAGCAGACTTTGGGAGCTGACTCCAGCCT